CAATGTTTGTGGCTCCTACAGAGACTCCTTTGATGAGAAATCACTCCACCCAGGACAGAGGATGCCTGACAGAGACCCAACTTCCCCAGGGGAGCCAAGGGAGATATTTTGTTCTTATGCATGATTTTCAGACATGTGATCATTTCAGAGAGGGCAGTAGCCCTCCAGCCCTTTAAACATAACTGTCAGCTACATTCAAAAGCAAAGAGATGAAAGTGACTATAGATACCATTGAATTCACCCTTTCAGCTTATAAAAGAGAAGACTGAGCCCAAAACTTTAAGCAAAATGCTCAGTCATGAGAGATTCTGTGCTGCTAGTCTCATGACCCTTTCTCTGCTCTATCCCACCGTTCATCTCTAGGGAAGAAACCATTCAGCTTGGGTTTGTTTTTTGTTTGTTTTGTTTTGAAACAGAATCTCACTCTGTTGCTCCAGGTAGAGTGGTGTGGCATCATCATAGTTCACAGCAACCTCAATCTCTTGGGCTCTAGAGATTTTATTGTCTCAGCCTCTTGAGTAGCTAGGACTACAGGTGGCTGCCATAACACCTGGCTAATTTTTCTATTTTTAGAGATGGCATCTCACTCTTGCTCAGGCTGGTCTGGAACTCCTGAGCTCAGGTGACCCACTGGCCTCAGCCTCCCAGATTGCTGGGATTACAGATGTGACCCACCACACCTGGCTTAGGTTGGGGTTTTAAGAATTAAACAGATTGAGCAAAATCTTGCATGGGCCGTGAGTATGGCTGAATACTTGAAGGTCTGAAAACGTGTGAACTACCTCTGTGGACTTCTGGGAGCCATGTGGTTTTATACACATTTAACAGAAAATCATCGCTCCCTCCCTCTGGTCTCAGTCTTGCATTTCCATTCTCTCCTGTGGCAGCCATCTAGTGAGTGAGTCCACACCACAGCCACGCTGAAGTGAGACCGTTTACACAGTCATTCAAGAGCTTGACAGCAGCCTGGTTAGGTGGACCTGCTGGAGCAGTTCAGAGACTGGCTGCCAGGCAGGGGGAAGGAACCGACCACCCGTCACCTCTGTCTGAAGCAGCTCTCGTTGGAAGATACAGACTTGGGAAGGATAAAGAAGGAATTATCTGCACAGTCTTGTGTGGGCACAAGAGGCTCCATGGCCCCGTGCCTGGAGACTTGAGATCACTGCTCCCCCACACTGCAGTAAGACGCTGAGCCACAGACTTGTGGAGAACTTAGTGGCCAAGAGGTGGACCCAGTTGGTTCGATTTCTTTTGAGCACTGAAACTCCCAGAGAAAGCTTCTCTTCTGATGTGGCATTAAATTTTCCCAGCTAATCTGGAGGAAGGAAAGTTTCTACTTCCTATGATTCTCCTGCCACCAGTTAGCTCTGTGGGCCAACCAATTTCTAAATCATGTCTTGGGCTGGGGACTTTATAAAGAGAATGAAAAGAAAGAAATTTAACTACAAACATACTAATGTGACAGTCTACTGTCTACTAATGTGGCAAATGAAACAAATGTAAATTTAATCATTGGGTTTTATTCTGAGTGTAAGTATAATACATGGTCACTGTAGAAAATCTGTAAAACCAGAAAGGTATAAAAAAGAAAAGTATTTATAATCCCATCATGCAAACACACTCTTGTTAATGTGTGAGAGCAGGACCCCGTGTTTCCCACCTCCTGCCATGTCTCAGCACTTGGGGAGGTGCCCCCTGCAGAGTAAGTGTGTGGTACATGTTTGTTGCACGAGTGTTCCTATTTTGGGGTGTGTGTGTGTTTATTCCCAGGTTTTTTTCAACGTCTATTTTACATGATTATACTTAGACTTTGTTCTTAACATAGTCTCTCCTTTTTTTTTTTTTTTTTTTTAGAGACAGAGTCTTACTTTATTGCCCTCGGTAGAGTGCTGTGGCAGCATCACACAGCTCACAGCAACCTCCAACTCCTGGGCTTAGGTGATTCTCTTGCCTCAGCTTCCCAAGTAGCTGGGACTACAGGTGCCCGCCACCATATTCTCTTATTATTATTATTATTGCAGTTCTTGGCAGGGGCTGAGTTTGAACCCACCACCTCCATCATATGGAGCCAGTGCCCTACTCCTTTGAGCCACAGGCGCCGCCCCTTCTCTTATTAACTTACCAGGATAACAAAAACTACTCCTATGTCACAAAAACTCTTTGCAAACATTTTGAAAATGTCTTGTGTAACTTATTTACTTTTATATCAATAGGTATTTTGGGGGAAAAACATACATTTCAAGGGCACTTTGCAAATTAGGCTTGCCTTTGGACAAGTAGACCTGCTGGTTGTTTTTCTAGACTGTTCTGTGTTCAGTGGACGCTAAAACTACTGAAATCACTTTCTATCACTTACTTCCCCAGTCTCACTGGGGTGCAGGAAGATGTGGAAATAATGCCAAAGGGAAATTTTGGAATTAGAATCAGGGTATAACCTCTAAACTAGTGTAATTAAGAAGTATCTGTTGAATATTGTATTGTATGAAGTAGTGAATTTCATGAACTAGTCATTTTGCTAAGTTCTGGAAATGCAGGGCCTCAAGAATATAATCTATAATCTACCTAATCACTGCTGTCCCTCCTTTTAAAGAATTCTCTGGGCTAGCCTGGTGGGAAAGCCCTTTGTCCAGGTCGCTGTAGTGCCATCTGCTGCTAAATTGAAGATGAGCACCCAGGAGCCCTTCAGGATGAGTTCTCTGATTTCTATCATTGACTTCTGCAAGAAATAAGAGATTTGATATGTGGTTTTTTGCAGGATCCTCTTGTTTCAAAAACTACCTGGATGTAGTTTTTTTTTAGACTTTGGGTGGACTTCTGGCTCTAGATGGCTCCAGAGTACATTTGATTAACTACTCCACCTTGTTAGAAATTTCTATCAACATTGAGAAGGAATATACAAATAGGGAGAAATGCATATCAGAACAGGAAACCATGGAAAGGGGCCAACATGTTCTAGAAGGCATGAGAAATTTCTGTATGACATAGCGCAGGTGAGACTGGATGGAGGGAAGGGCCCATTACCCTGCCATTCACCACATGGGAAAGGGACACTGGGGGAATGAGGGGAGCAGATGCCAGCAGAGTCTTCCAATGTCCCCCAGATCATAGTGGCAGGAGTTGAAGGTGAGGGTGGGTTCCTGGACACATAGTGAGAGGCAAACCCAGATCCTCCCTCCACTCTGGGAAATGCACCAGGTACTGGGTCTGCAAACACTTGAAACATAGAATTAACCAGGCATTGCCACGCCTGGCTTTTAACAAAGGTAGTCACATCAGAAGAGTGTCAGGTACCCCAGAAAACTCCACCCTGGAATACTAAATCCTAGAGAACAATTAAGCCATCTGGAGTTTCCAGGTAGAGTAACCAATGTCTAAAGATTCTATGCTCAGCCAGTCACTCTAATGCAACAACCATAGAGAGACATTCTCAGAAATGCAAATGTTTGGAGAGCTTTCCTGACAGAACACCCCCCCACACACACACACACACTCTTCAGGATTATGATAGTGATAATACAATCCATGTAACTAAAAATTAACTCAAGGGTGGCGCCTGTGGTTCGGAGCACGCTAGCCCCACATGCCGAAGGTGGTGAGTTCAAACCCAGCCCAGGCCAAACACTGCAAAAAAAAAAAAAAAAACCATTGTGCTTAATTAAGTTATGAAATTGAATAACAATATAAAAACAATCTAGGAAGAGAAGTAAAGACTAATGTCATTATTCTTATTATTAATCTCTATTCCTATGCCTCTCTATCCCTAAAATCCTGGGTAAGGATAAGAAGGAAAGTACAAGTCTCAAATTCTCATCTTATGTAAGAAAGAGTCACATGTTTTCTGTTTTATACTGGGCTCATCTTGGGAAATAAGTTCAACTATGTTTAATCTACTGCTTATAAACCCAATATTAGAAAAGATTTTTCCAAATTGTTAGTATAAAAAGGATTGAAGAAAATTTGTTCAATATAGAAAGGTAGAAGACGAATAAAAGAACCTTCCGCAAATTTAATATTTTAAAACCTCTAAGTTAGATCTTTGCATATGGAAATCAGCAATCTAGGCTGGACATGGTAGCTCATACCTATGATGCACTCTGGGAGACCAAGGCAGGAGCATTGCTTGAGGCCAGGAGTCAAGACCGGCCTGAGCAACACAAGGATATGCCTGTCTCATCAAAAAGTAATGAAACAAAAAAAATTAGCCAGTCACAGTGAAGTGCTCTTATAGTTCTAGCTTCTAAAATACTTAGAAGTCTGAGGCAAGAGGCTCGCTTCAGCCCAGGGGTTCATGGTTCATATGATCCTACCATTGCACTCTAGCCCTTGTGGAAGAGTGAGATCCTGTCTCTAAAAAAGGAGGAAAAAAAAGGAAGGAAGGAGGGAAGGCAGGGAAGGAGAGGGGGAAGACAAGACATAAATCAGGAATATAATTAGTAAAACTTTCAAGAAAGCATGGATGGTTCATATTAAAAAATTCACTTATACAGCATTCATCTGTGTAAGTGCCTGCTAGGTGCTGGCTGTTCCAGAAGGATGTAACTTACTTGATCCTTCCCCTAAAACATACCTACCCCCAGCCTCCTCATTCGTGTCACTCTCTAGTTCTTCTCCATGGCACACCTGTCAGACTCTTTCACCTTGGTTTGCTAGTTTAATGTCCATCGTCCCTCCCTAAAATGCCATTTCTCCAAGTGAACATGCCTGTCTGTCTTGTTCACAGTTGTCTTTCCAATGCCCAGCAAAGAACTTGACATGTGACAACTGATAGATTCATGCAACACTGATGTCCTATATAATCATTCAGTTTTTTTTATTAAATGAATGGGTATGCATGAATGGATGACTGTGGTTCTAAATCCTTGCCCTCAGAGTGCCTATTATTTAGCAGAGGAGAGAGTAGATCCAGTGGGTACTTCCACAGACAGCATCAAAATCCCATTTTCCTAAGCACATTCTATCCCATTTAACTTGCTGAATAAAAGATGGGAATTGTCTTGCAGGAATCTTCTACAACTTCCTCTCGAGAAAAGTCTGGAAAACTCGAAGCACAGAGTACTAACTTCCTGTTTCCAAAAGCCTGCCACCAAAGGACTCGCAGCAACTCGACCAGTAAGTGTCTCGCCACAAGGTATTCTGGAACAGGGCTTAGTGTCTCCTGAATATCAGGAACGTAGGCCAGTGGCATGTCCATTGTGTGTGTAGTGTAAATTCATGTGCCATGAGGGCTCTGTGTCATCCAGCCCAGTCCTCTTTGAGGTGGGCTCATAGTGCCATGTTGGGAAGGCTGAGTTATGGAGGCTGAGAGATAAGGGCTTTCCTCCTGCTGGGTCTGACATACTCCTTGGTCCTGGATGGTCACTCTCTCTCCCAGGGCCTCTGCCACCTATCTGTAACACGATGGGGCTTGAGGTTAGAAGATCTCATGCTGCAAATAGAATAGTGCTAATGCAAAGTAAGGAAAACATGAAGAATGCAGAAAGGCATGAAGACCTTAAAATCACCCCAAATCCAGGTGAGCTTGGTGGCGCACACCTGTAATTCCAGCATTGTGGGAGGCCGGCTGAAGTTCAAGACCAGCATGAGCAAGAGTGAGACCCCGTCTCTGCTACAAGTAGGAAAAAAAAAAAAAAAACTAGCTGGGCATTGTGGTGGACACCTGTAGTCCCAGCTACTTGGGAGGCTGAGGCAGGAGGATTGCTTGAACACAAGAGTTGGAGGTTGCTGTAAGCTATGACGCCACAGCACTCTACCGAGGGTGACAGAGTGAAACTCTGTCTCAATAAAAGGAAAAAATCATGTCAGAGATAATCCTTGCTAACATTTTCAAATTTTTCCTTCTATGCCTATATGTGCCTATAGAAAACTTACACATATACACCAAATATATGTGTGTGTATATGTCTATAAAACTTTGCCTCATGTCATTGGGAACTTTTGTAAACACTATTTTGAGTGAGTAGATACATGAAAGTTCATTGTATGAATTTATATAGTTAACCAGTTCCCTAATCATTCTCATTTTTGTCACCAATCTAATCAATTTTGTTTGAGTGAGTGATGATCTCTTGGAGGAAATATAAAAGGCAGTGGGCAGATACATGGCTCAGAGTGCACACCAGGAGCCAAGGCACTTGGATTTGGACCCTGATTCCAGAACTAATAATCTGTGTGACCTTCTCTTAAAATCCCTAAGCCCTATATTATTCTGCCATAGCATCCATCATCCTGAAATTAATAATTTTCCACTTTTTGATGGCTCTTTTTATCATACATTTTTACTCTTTTTTCTTTTAGCATAATTTCCTAGAAAATGGAGTTTTGGGTCAAAAGGTATGTATAATTTAATGCTTTTGATCCGTACTGCCAAATTTCCGTAGTGAATATCCCCCCAATAATGTATATGAATAGCTACTCCTTCAATCATAGCCCACATTGAATTTTGTTTTATTTTTTTTTTGAGACAGGGTTTCTCTCTGTTGCCCAGGCTGGAGTACAGTAGTGCAACCATAGCTCACTGCAGCCTCAAGCTCCTGGGGTCAAGTGATCCTCCTGCCTCAGCCTCCTAAGTAGCTGGGGCTACAGGTGCTCACTGCCTCCAGCTATTTTTTTTTTTTGTAGTGAGGGGGTCTTACCATGTTGCCCAGGCTGACTAGAAATCCTAAGCTCAAGCAATCCTCCCACTTTGGCCTCCCAAAGTTCTGGGATTATGTGTGTGAGCCACTATGCCATGAATTATAATTTTTAAAAAATGTTTGCTACTCAGGTTTTTCTCGATCCCACTTTTCCCCACCCATTCGTTCCCTAGTTTTTACTGCCTGGCTTTGCATTCAAGACCAGCTATCTTATTGGTAGGTCTCAGAGTAAAATGAAAATGTGAGACCTCTTTTCAAAAGTTTCATGGGCAGAGCGTGTAGCCAAGCTGGGATTCTTCTGGTCTTGGGCCCCAGGGTGACTATACAGAGGCATGGCACTGGGAGCTGACCTCTTCAGACAGCACCTCCTGGGCTCTCTGGACCTCTGGGGTCTGGTCGGGTTCAGTCTATGAGAAGCACCAACGGAAGACTGGCAGGGGGAAAGAGTGGCCAGGAGGTTTCTTCCCCCTGCCTCTGTCTCCCTGACTTCTGCTCCCTCTCCCCCCAACCCCTTGCCCCCCACATCCATGCTATTGCTTCTCAGTGACTATATAACATGTCAAGTGGCCTGCCTGTCACAGTGCCAGTGCTCACTAGGCTCTGGTAGTCCCCATGGTTTCCTCCACTTGACCTGCAGGCCTGGGGTGATGATAGCTTCTGTGCCTCAGTAATCCTTGCTGTTTTCCCAGCTCTGCCCACCTCTGTAAATGGCCCTTTTAGTCAGTTCTCAAAATCCCAGCTGAGTGCACCTTTTGTTTCTTGCCCAAACCCTGACTGATACACTGATAAAACAAACCTCTCTGTACAGGTGGGATTTAATATTGCTTTGTTGATTTATTTTGTTTTTGGAATGTTTGCCCGTTTTTCCATTGGGACGATCATTATCTTATCATTAATTTATAAAAAGCTTCCTGGTTAAATTAATATTTGGCTGCCATATGTATTTGTTATTTTTATTTTAATTTTTTTACATGAAGATTTTTTTTAACCTGAATTTATTGATTTTTTTTTCCTTTGCAAAAGTTTCTTCCACATTCATAGAACTATTAAATATGTGGCTATATTTTCTTCTAATTTATAAATGATTTGTTTCTTTTGTTCCCTGAACTTAGTGAATCTGTAATTTGTGTTTGGTGTTTGATATGAAGTAAGAATCTGGACAGATTTTATTTTCTGAATGACTGGAGAATGATTCTAGCATGACTTGTTTATAATCAATTACTACCTACTTCTTTATTTGTTTATGTTATTTATCTCTTGCAAATGATATGCAGTTAGATCCTCGAAAGAAAATCTTTTTAAGGAGAGAAGTTCAAGTTATTCACGCTAGTCATATAAGTAATACTTACTTTTACTTATTTATTTTTACACTTCCTATTTCTATGGTTACTTCCCATTTATTTGTTTTTTGCCTTTTGCTATAAGGATTTGAAAGCTTTATCAATTTTTATCTCTACTTCTGGTTTCCTTTAAGTTAGAATTAATCCATTAAGTCTGATTAATACTTTAGACTACATTTTCCAAATTGTTCCTTTTATGAACGACGAGGAACTTAGCATGATGTTATTCATCTTGAGTCCCTTTTCCACTTATTTTTCTACTTTATGTTTCAACTTAAATTTTAAATTATAATTCATATTACATAATAATCACACATAGCTCCCCCTTCAAGAATTGTCTTGGCTTTTGCACTATATTTTATAATCACCTTTTGAATTAATGCACTCAATACTGCATGTTTAAATGGTTTCCACTTCACTTCCCAATGGAAATGATAATTTTGATATATTTCCATATTGGCTGGAATGCGTCAACAAGTAATTTTCAGAAAGAGTAGCTGAGGGCCCAGACCAGGTAGAGCTTTGGAGAACCTGCTCTGTCCTGACTCCAGCCTACATCCACGCAGACCTGAGCTCCTAGCAGGAGCAGGAGGCTCCAGAGAAGCAGAGCTGGGTGTGGTCTGAGCAGGGCTTGCCTATGGCACTGACGGCAGCTCTATCTGCCTGTAACCACTCCGAGTTGGCAGCCTGTTTGCTTTTCCTTATTTCCTCTGAACCCAAACCACATGCCACTGCCCTCCTTCAAATCACAGGTCTCCCCTGCACTGCTGTGGAAGGAGAGAGTGGGAGGGGAAACTGGGATCCTGGAGACTCAGGCAAGCCTAAGGCTCTTTCATTCACTGTCTTGCAACCCTCTGAGCACTGATAAAGTAAGGAGTGAATTCCCACAGGGTTCTCCAAAGGATGAAGGATGGGTTGGATGTATCATCTGGGAAGCCTGGCAAACATCCAGATTCCCCCAGACCCCAAGGGCAGATATGGATTCAGTATATCAGGAAGGACACAGAAATCTGGCCTTTTATTAAACACTCCAGAAAAATTATGTACAGGCAGATTTAGGACTAGACAATCTTGAGCCTCTCCTCTCAACTCCCATCCACGATCTTGTGTCCTCTCTTTATAGCATGTGGCTTTCTGAATCCTCTGGCTTCCTCCCCCTGCATCCCCCTTCCCATCCATCTGGCAGTAATTGGTCGCAGTAAGTCAGAGAGGACCACCTACTTGTGCTGAGGCAGCTGCTAGGAGCAGCTGTCCTGGCAGGAAACTGGTTGCCTAGCCACTTCACTCTCTGAGCCCTGATGGACCTGACCTTTGTCCCTTTCCTCATCCCCCTTTTGGGATGTCACACCCTCAGGGATGCCTCCTCTCTTTTCTTCTTCATCTGCCCTGGCCAGTAGTTTCCTGTCTTCAACCTGTAGACAAGTTTACGTCTTCCCATCCTAAAAAAGAAAGCAAACCAAAACCCTGCTCCATCCTGCGTTTGCCCTCAACTACCAGCAATCTCATATTTTCCTCTAGGGGAACTTTCCACAGAAGCTTGTCCACTCCCTTGAGCTGAGGAACACCTGGAGAACAGTGCCCTCTCCCTGCACTGCCCCGTATAGCAGCCACATGTGGCTCTAGAGCACTTGCCATGTGGCTCACCCAAAGGCAGATGTGCAGGAGAGCGAATGACTTGTGAACACAAGGCGAGAAGAACATGAAATAATAATAATTGACTGAGAGGACAGTAATTTAGATATGCTATACTGAACAAAACACATTTTCAAAATTAATCTCACCTGCTTCTTACTTTTTTAATGTGGCTTCTAAAAATTTTTAAATTTTACAAGTGGCAGGCATTATATTTCAGTTGGGAAGTGCTGCTCTGGACAATGATAGGTTCCGTCAGCTAATGTCCGAGGGTTTTTCCAGTTGTATGTGGTAGAGCTCCTGATTGGACAAAAGGAAGTCTGAGGTTTTCACAAAATACAGGAAGCCCACTGCTTTGCATTTTCTGACCCTCGAAGAATCAAGCTATGTGTGTGTGTGTGTGTGTGTGTGTGCGCGCGCGCGTGTGTGTGCGCACACGTGCATGACTGTGTATAGGAGGCAGTCAGATAAACCCCAGAGCTCAGGCTATCTTTAGCTGGCGTCTGATCCACTGACTGGTTCTATCATTCTGACTAGATGTTAGATGGGTCTCAGTCAGGCCTGGCAGCTGTCCGAGGCCCAGCCCACCCAGCACCAGCAGAGTGAGTGTGGTGCCCCAGCTCTTGTCATTCCCTAGGCATCAGAGAAGTGCAAACCAAAGCCACCTTGAGATGTCACCCTAACCCCAGAGAAAATAGCTCCCATCCAAGGCCCAAAGCTGCTGGCATGGGTGCAGAGAGAAGGGAACACTTACACCACCGGTGAAACTGCAAACTAGTCCTGCCTTTTTGGAAAGAAATATGGAAAATCCTCAGAGAGCTAAAAGTAGACTTTCCATTTGATCCGGCAATCCCATTACTAGGTGCCTACCCAGAAGAAAAAAAAATCATTTTACCACTAGGACAGCTGCACTCAAATGTTTATAGCAGCCCAATTCACAATCACAAAGATGTGGAAACAACCTAAATGTCATCAATCCATGAAGGGATTAATAAACTGGGGTATATGTATACCATGGAGTGCTGTTCAGCCATAAAGAAAGATGGAGACTTTACAACTTTTGTATTTACCTGGAAGGATTTAGAGAACGTCCTCCTAAGAAAAGCATCACAAGATTGGGAAAACAACCGTCCAGCATACTCAGTATGAAACCGGTAGATCAACCTACATGCCCACGCAGAGAAAAACACATTTAAATTCCAGGAGGGTGAAGGGCGGAGGAGGTGTGGTGAGCTCCAGCGATCAGACACAGTGTAGGGGGGGTATGGTGCACCACTCAGCTGCAACTTGGACTTTACCTATTAATCAATGTAACTTAGGTGGAGGACTCAGCTGCAACTTGGACTTTACCTATTAATCAATGTAACTTATTCCTATGTGGCCTTATATTAATCTGAAATTAAAGGGGAAAAAAAAAGAGGCCATCAGATAGGGGTTGCTGGGCACACCTGTGCTGTCCTTTGACTCTCGGGGGTGGTATTGAAAACTTCAGGAACTGGGCTCCCAAGAAACCAGCGCACTGTTTGGTACGTGAGAGATACGTGTCAGCTACCGATAAGCTACCGATAGTTTTTTTTTCCGGGTGGGTTTGAACCTGTCACCTTCAATATATGGGGCTGGCGCCCTATTCCTTGAGCCACAGATGCCGCCCAGCACTGGCAGGTTTGAAGTGAGGGAGGATGAGAGCGCTGCGGGACAGAAATCGGCGCCCAGATCAGGAAAGTGCCGCCCGCGCCTTCCGCGCTGCTCCTCGACCTGGTGCTGGCGCCGGGGAGCGGGGAACCATGATGTTCTCACCGGAGCTTTGCGTTCTGAGAGCGAAAATGACTTCTTGCTGTCTTTCCTCTTCCGGTTTAGGTGTTAATCCTTATAGCACGGGAGAAATTGATTTTCCAGTTACCAAGAAATCCGCAGTTGCCACAGACAGGCAGCCCTGCTCCCTCTGCAGCAGCAGAAAGTCCCTCTCGCAGCAACTGGACGGTCCCGCGGCAAAGGCGTTGGTAAGATGAAAGGAGGGGAACCCAGAGAAGAGGGGGAGCGGTGTCGGAAGAGGTCTTACTAGTGTCTGTGTCCATTTCTGCGGAAAGAACCACCTAGGGAACTGTCATGGGTCAGGTGGCTCCTCGTGCCAGACACTCGCAACTGGGGCCGCCTCTATGCTTCTAGGAGCTAACCTGTAGTCAGCACTCCCCGTGTGCAGACCCTGCACTCCGGCTCTATGCGGTGGCTTTATGTCATCTGCGCAAGATCCCAAGAGGCTGAGGAGGGGGCTGGGGCTTGGACAAGGTAAGGAATTTGTGCAAGTTTTCCCTGCCAGTAAGACATGGTTCTGGGACATGAAATCAGACCGTTAAAAGACTGTGCTTTTATCGTAACAAGTTACGATATAGTAACTTGTTTTTACCAACATTGTCTCTAATTCTGCCCACAAGCCCAGAAACAGAGATATTTAGCCTCATTTTACGTAGCATGTAGGGGCTTGGCAAGGTAAGTAGCTCAGTTCCTACATCTTAAATCCTAAGGGACCAGAATATGAACCAAGTGCTATGTGATTCCTCAGTCCATGAGGCATGAGCTTGAAGACTGGGAGCTAAGCAGGTGTGAAGCCCATTGTCCCCTACACAAATCCCCAGGGCTGCCTCTGTGTCCCCTTCTGTCCTTTCTCTGAGCCTCAGCTAAAGCACTCTGGGCCTCCTGCTGTCACCTGTGATCAGGCAGCACCCCCTGTCCACAGTGCCTCACCAGCTCCCTTCTCCATCTGGCGAAACCTTGCTCCATCCCTTAAAAACCTTCCTAAAGCTCCCTCCTCCAGGAATTCGCCTGATTCCTCTGACAGTGGGGACCTTCCATTTTCCCCAATGCCCACAGGGAGGTCTGTGCTTCTCTCACAGTGCCACCCACCATATCTAGTAATGTTGTTTACGTTGATATCTCACCTCCGTGCTGACACTCCGAGGGTGTGCTCCACGGTTCAGTCAGTGATGTTTGCTTCCCTGCATGCCATGGAGTAGAGCTCAGTAATTCCATTTCTCTCTTCCCTTCCCTTCCTTGAGTGACTGTGGTTTTCATCTACAACCTGGGAGTGTTGGTGACTCCCCAGTATCAGAGGAGCTGAGGACACCCACAGTCCCTGTTTCTCTGCACTTCTGGGGTCACACAGGAGCACCCTGGAGCCCTCAAACACCTGCCAGGTCTGAGTCCCTGGGATTGGGGCAGCAGGTGCTTCCTGCCTCCTGCCTCATGCTCTGGGATTCCAGGGCCCTGGCGTGAAGCCTTCAGGCCAGCAAGGGCGGGCTATGGGTCAGTTGGTGGCAGCTCCCAGGAGGGCTGACTGGGAAGGATAGAGGGGCTATGTGCTATCAGGAAGGAGTGCTTTGGGTGGCTAGTGGTGTTGTGGGGGCTGGTGTGGGAGACACAGCTATTGCCTTTGCTCACTGAGCCCCTGGATGTTTATGAGGCATTTGGACCATTAGTCAGGGTTCTCCAGGTAAACAGAACCAAAAGTGTGAGAGAAACTAATTTGTTACAAGGAATTGGCTCACGGGGTTATGGAGACAGGTGAGTCCCAAGATCTGCAAAGTGAGATCCTGTCTGAGTCTGAAGGCCCTGGAGCCAGGAGAGGTAATGATGCAGTCCCAGTCCGAAGGCCACAGGCCTGAGATCCAGGCAGATGCTCCAGTGCAGTGTGAAGGCAGGGAGAAGGCTGACATCCGAGTCCACAGGCAGGCAGGAAGGGTTCTTTCTCACTCAGGGGCAGTCAGCCTTCTTGCTCCATTCAGACCTTCAGCTGATTGGACAGGGTCACCCACGTGAGAGAAGGTAGCTGCTTTGGCTACTGACTTAAACATCAATCTCACTCAAAAGAATAATGTCTGACTCAGTGGCCTGGGCAAGTACAAAAAATTAACCATCACAGACGTCCAGGCATCATTTCATCTTGTCTTCATAATAGCTCTCCAAAGAAGGTGGAGAGGGGTTATCAGAGAGGGTCTGCTTCTGGAAGAGGGGAAGGGAGAGTGTGCCTCACAGTGGGTGGGCAGCCTGGGAGGGGCTGAGAGCTTCAGCTTCTGGGGCTATTTTCTGAGAAGCTCAGTCCATCAGTGTGGCAGCTGCAGGCCAGCCAGAGGGAGGGTGGTCCACGAGGAGCTGGGTGTCCAGGGAAGCTAGTGGTAAAACAGACATGCAGGCCATGCCCACTGCCTGCCAGGCACTGGCTACATGTTCTATGTAGATTTCCTTAATTGTCACCTAATGAGGTGTCCAACCATGAGAGTAGGTTCTATCAAGAACTACCTTTTGACCAGGCCAGGTGACTCACACCTGTAATTCTAGCACTCTGGGAAGCCATAGCAGGAGGTTTGCCTGAGCTCAGAAGTTCTAGATCAGCCTGAGCAAGAGAAAGAAGTCATCTCTACTAAAAATAGAAAAATTAGTCAGGTGCAGTGGTGGGTACCTATAGTCCTAGCCACTCAGGAGGCCAAGGTAAGAGGATTCCTTGATCCCAGAGTTTGAGGTTGCTGTGAGCTAGGGTGACAAGAGGGAGACTGTCTCAAAAAAAAAAAAAATCCACCTTATACAGGTGAGGAAACCAAAACTCAGAGCAGTTAAACAGCCTTCCCAAGGCTACCTACACAGCAGCAGCAGGATACAAATGTGGCTTCTGCAGAGCCCGTCTCCCAGGCCTCCACTGGCAGGGTGGGCCTTCAAGTCAGCAGCCCATGTCTCTGGTTCTGGCTGCCCCATCTCACGTCTCAGAGAGCAGGGACCATGCAGCTACCTCCACGCTCACAGCTGTTGTGCCTTCTTCAATGGGACGTGCACCCCCAGGCCCAGACAAAGTCTTTCAAGTCATAGGATGTGGAAAGCAGCGAAGAGTCTCTAGGTGTGTAATAATGAGAAGATAGCTTCACGAGGTGCTTTTTCTAAGTGCTCTCATAGTTTACTCTTTAAAACAGCCTATTAGGTAGGACCTGTGATTTTGCATTTGAGGAAACTGAGGCACAGAGAGACTATGTTACTTCCCCTATAGTACCAGCTGATAATTAGCACAGCCAGAAGAAGCTAGACAGCTGGGTTCCAACGTCTGGGCTCTGACCCCCAGGCTATATTACCCACCACTCCATGTCTGGCATAAGGGGGAAAGGAGGATCTCAGTAAACATGTGAGGGGTGAACACAGTCTGAGATAGCATTCCTGGCAGTTGGCTTTCCAATCTCTGCTTGAGACTTTGGTTATGGGGACTCGTCTTTGGGGCAGCGTGGTCTGCGAGATTAGCCTGCATCTACCTTGTTGAGGAGACCCAGCCCCTCCTTGTTGAGGAGCGTTTGGCCATTGGCCTGTAGGAAGATGGGGTGCAGCAAGCCCCTCCACACTAGAGGCGCCATAGTCCTTACCCCACAGGGAGTTCTCACCTCGGGAGGGAGGTATCTGCTCCCCCTCCTTGGCTGGGCCCTCCCCACCTCATGGGACTCACCCTCTGCCCACCCTGCTTCCTCCTTGCAGGGCACTTCAAGACCCACGCGATCGTTGAGCACGGCCCAGCTTGTGCAGCCCTCTGGGGGCCTCCAGGCTTCTGTCATCTCCAACATCGTGCTGATGAAGGGCCAGGCCAAGGTAAGAAAGGGCTGTTGCCGACAAGAAATCCTGGAGCGGCGCCAGTCTCTGAGGGACTGCGGGGATTGTGGTGCGTCAGAGGCGCAGTGTCTAGTCTTTTCAGCTCAGAACCAGCTGAGTTTGAGAGACATACATTTTTCTAATTAGTCAAAGCGATCATTTTCTTGCAGAAGATATCATTCCCCACTAACTGCCTCAAAGCCATTTGCTGATTTATTTCTGGGAGGATATTTTCCAGGACTTTATTTTACTTGATATATAAACCTGAATTGTTTACATAGACTTCTGGATCCTAATTTTGCCTCCACCATTCAGATGTCAGCATAAGAAAGCATAAACATTTTCAAACATATGTGCTACCTGCTACATGTGGGTGACTCAATGGTCTGCAATGCTTTGCTGTCAGCTGGAGCCTCTAGAGAAGTCAGAACTAACTCTGGCTCTCTCTAGATGGTGAAGCATCATACTGATCTCTGCTGCACACTTGAGACATATCAAAAGCAGGAATGAAAGTATTGGGGGAAGCCAGATGTAGTGGCTCAGGCAAGCAGTCCAGCACTTTGGGAGGCCAAGAGGGGAGGACAGTTGAGGCCAGGAGTTTGAGACCAGCCTGGGAAATGAACTTCCTGTCTCTGAAAAATTTTTTAAAAATTAGCTGGGTATGGTGGCAGGTGCCTGTAGTTCCAGCTACTTGGGAGGCTAATGCAGAAGGATGGCTAAAGCCCAGGAGTGTGAGGTTACAGTGAGTTGTGATGATGCCACTGCACTCCAGCATGTGAGACTGAGCGAGATACTGCCTCAAAAAAGAAGAGGAGAAAAGGGTGTCAGTGATAATGGGGCACCCAAAATGTTTCTTTGCTGTCCACAAAACATCTACTTCATGCATGGGATTGACATGCACACTCAAATAGCTAGCAGAGACACAGGCAGTTTCTGAAAATGTTCTCAGAGCAGCCCAAGCAACCCAGCTGCTGAAATAATGCAAGACCGGCTTTTTTAATCTAACATGGTTTTGGTCTGTGGTCAGAGGTGAGCAGCTAACTGCTGCTTATGCCCTCAGCAGGGGTGGGGCCTCCACACACCTGAGCTCCCTGCCCCCTCTGTCTCCTGTTCTTCTGGGAACTGCGCAGGGAAAGGAAAGAGAAGGCAGATGTGAGAAAAGTCAGGATGAACATTCCTTTAATCATGAGGGAGCAGCTGTCTCCCATGTCCACTCTCTGTGAATAGCCTCACTTTCCAGTTAGCAAATCATAATGCTTCCTCCCCTTGAATTTAGGTAGAATTGACTTTTAAATTTTTGCAATGCTCAAAAGAAAGCAAAATGGAAAGGGGGCACTAAAACTTATGCAAAGATAACCAGAAATGGGTTAAACGATCTTAGTGCATTGAAAATATATATTCATTAAATAATCTTTCTGAGGCCCAGGGATGGAAGTAGACAAATCATTTGGTCTAGGAAGATTGGAGGACAGAACAGGGGTGATGAGCTTAGAAATAATGCAGCTTCCCACTATCCAGCAGATATTACTAGGAACCCTGAGACCTCACCAGTGATGGGATGACTGGTAGCAGTGAGGCTGGAGTTGATAGCTGGAGGAGGAAGAATAAGTTAAAAGGACCAGAAAGTGCTGAGGGTGGGGCCAAAATGAAATCACATGATAAAACCAGCTGACAAGACCCAGGCTTTGTGTCAAAGGCTTTGCAAGGGCAGCTCCTTCAATCTGACAGGCCCACTATTAACTCCTGCAAAGACTGGGAGCTTCCAGGACTTGCCCAAGGTTACTTAGCTAGTGGGCAGCTAAGCCAAGGAGGACCTAAGACCACCTGGCCCCGGGCTTTGTTTGTGAGCACAATGCCATCCTGCCTTGTCAGGGTGTGCTAGACTTTGAGCCCAGAATGGTAGTTTTACAGCCAGAATGAGGCTAGGGGCCCATGGGAGAGTCCTAAAGTGAGTCCCACCCCATATTTCCCCTGAGCTGGTGCTGTTCCTGGGTACCACTTGTCCTGCCTGTCTGGGAACACTCACCACCTTCCCCAGAGCTTAGCACAGCCCCCCATCCACATGGCTCACTTAACCTTCCCCAGAGCTTTGCACGCCCCCCCCCCCCAATCCACATGGCTCTCCTAGGGGGTACCTGCCTGATCCCTGCAGGGCCTGGAAGAGGGCTGGCAACTTGCCTTCACTGTGGGGCAGGGTGATGCTCCTAGCTGGCTCTAGCAGCAACTGGCCTAAGGGAGATGGCCCACGAGCAGGGGTCCTGTTACAATGGTGGCACTGCTTCCGGGGGCCTGTCCAGGAGCCATGCCACTGGCTACCTGGCACACTTGTGAGGTGGACCCAGAGACCTAGCCTCTGGCTGGCTTTTGTGCTTTCATTACACAACTTGTAGCTCTTGAGCACCTGCCAGAGGCCAGGCAGTGATGGACCAGATGGGATCACAATAGCTGCCTTCAGGGAGGAAAGTCCAGAAAGCAGCTAACTGAGCCCCACACTTTCTTGGGAACTATGGAGCTCCGATCCTCAGCAGAATGAAGCAAGCCGTGTGTGTTTCCTTTGCTGCTCTCTGGGTATGACCGGGTGCCCTGTGAGCCCACTGCAGGTCTGTGGGGGAGAGGTGCTCTGCTGTGGCCCTCGCTGACACACCTGCTTGTCCTTCCGTGTCTGGCCTCTCTGCTGCCTTCTGGCTGCTCTTGCAGCTGGGACCATCTGCTGAGTCCTGAGCTCTTCCACCCAGAGCCATCTGCACAATCCCAGGATGTGTTTTTTGGCTCGTAGGAATGACCTGGGATAATGACAGGGAGAGTGATGGGCTGGGTGGCAGGGTGGGGGGAGAGCACATGATTAGAGGGACTTCCCTGAGAAGGGGACTGAAGGGCCCTTTGGTGGGAGAAGGAGTGCTTCTCCATCAGAAGCTACCAGCACTACTGTCACTGATGTTTCATTGTTCCTTCGAGGTAGCTTATTTTATTTTCACATGCAACCCTGTGAATTGGGTGATATCACCATCATTTACATGTGGAAATGTGCTCAGAGGCCAGAAGCAATTATCCTGGAATCACCAACTGGAGGGACACAGTGAGGGTGCTGGTTTCCATTCAGGCTGCCCTGTGTGGGGAATGTTCAGACTCAACCCAGCCTGCCTGGTCTTTCTGTGACTGCTCGTGCTATTCCTTTGTTAAGCTCCCTGAAGTCATGAGACAAGGGGCACTGACCTTTCTTCCCGATGCCCCATGGAGGGGTGAGACAGGCTCTCAGAAAACACTGGCCAGTGAAAAGCACGGCACACTCCTAACCCTAACCTTCTCTTCTCTCCCCAGGGTCTGGGCTTCAGCATCGCTGGGGGAAAGGACAGCATTTATGGTCCCATTGGGATTTACGTCAAAACCATCTTTGCAGGGGGAGCAGCCGCAGCTGATGGAAGGCTGCAAGAAGGTAGTTTCCCAGCCCTTCTTGGACCACAGTGGAGGAGTCAGAAGCTGAATCCAGAATTGCAAGGCTGTAGGAAATATTGGGAATGCAAACTTTTCTTAAGTTTTCAGAATCTGGCCTGGATCCCAGGGTTTATAGAAGTTAGGGATATCCCGCCAGGGGCGCCGTTATGACTGGCTTGCTGGGGTGTGTGTTTGCACACTCAGCCCCTGGTGCCATCCGCCCAGAGGCAAGTCCTGTGGCCCTGTGTCCCGCCTGGGGCTGAAGTCTGACTTCACGTTCCATTCCCCATCCTCTCTGTTGCCTTTGCCTCTGTTGCTGGGATCTGTTAACATCCCTGCTCCTTCCTTCTCTTTTCCCTCCCTAACCCACAACCAGAGGGAGACAGGTCCAATGCTCCTGACAGTTGAGTCCAGTAAACATTCTCTAAGAGCCCCAGGAGTTCTTCTAGGCCCGAGGCACATGTGTAGAGAGGAATTGGACAGAATCCTTCCTTTGAAGAGCTCTTGGTCTGCCAATGAGAGGTCCTCTGCTGCACCCCTCCACAGCCCCCTCCTCTCGGCTACTCCCTCTCAACTCTCTCACACCTGCACAAGACAGAGGCCCTGGACTGGACGTGAGGCACCTGGGGGAACAGAGCTACCTGTCTTCTGGTCCTCCTTCTCACCCCTACCCTACCCCAAGTCATGTCTGGATTATTGGACTTGGTTCAAGGAGATCGGGTTTCAGATCAGGGGTGGGTAGTCATGGGCGGAGGTGGCCACTGCAGGCCAGGGACAGGGTCACACACAGGTTGGCCAAGAGAGAAGTGACTTCACAGCATCCTCAATGTTTGTCAGGGCAGTTCTCTATAAGCCAGGCTGGGAGCCCACCACCTCTCCTAACCTAACTTCTTTAGGGCAGGGTGGACACACCACAGCCTGTGGGGTTTTTCTATAGCTCACAAAGGCAAGTTTTCACACTTCTAAGTCATTGAAAAATGTAAGTCTTTTTTGGCTCTTTTGTGACACGTGAAACTTAAATGCCACTTACATTTCAGTGCCCATAGAAAAGCTTTCTTGGGACACTGGTATGCTCATTGGTGTGCTGTCATCTGGGGCTGCTTTGGAGTTACAATGGCAGTGTCGAGCTGTTGTGATGGAGACGTAAAGATGGAAATATTTATCATCTGGCTCTTTATAGGAAAAGTTTGCTGACCCCAACACTGTAGCATTGTGCGTGTGGGTTTTATTGTGTGGGTGGAGGGAAGCCTTTGACTCGGGTTTTCAGAGGATTCAGGAAGCGGGGCGTGGGATGGAGAGACACCAGAAATGGGAGGATCAGGGAGGAGGCTGCTGTGAGAGCCAGACTGCAGCTCAGCTCCGAGGACCTGCCCCAGACAGTAGCTGGAGGACAGAGGGAGAGGTGAGAGAAGTGACAGAGACCCAGTCAAGGTGGCCAAGAGAGGCCAGTCAGAGGAATCCTGAAGGTTTCTTGTCCTAGGAAACTAGAGGATGAGGATGCTTTAGATAAAGAAAGGGGAGGACGAGAAGGAAGAGGGGGATAGGGAGGAGGAGAAGGAGGAGGGAGAGGAGTGGGTTTCAGCCCTGGGTGGGAGGGCCATGTCCCAGGGTGACCACGAGGTGGAGCTGCTGAGCAAGGGAATGAAAATCTGGGCCCTGCTCAGGAAAGGAGTTGAGCTGAGCAGCACTTTGGTGTCATGGTCTTGGGGAGAGTGGGTAAGTCACAGAGTGGATGAGAGAGACAGGAAGAGAGGAGAGGAGAGGGCCCAGGCGTGCCTCTAGGGAAAGAGCTAAATCAAGAGGCAGGTGGAGAAGAAGAGCCAAGGAGAGGAAAGAACAGTGGGGCCAGAACGGGGGAGTCTGCCATCCTTTATTATTGTTTGTATTTTCTGCTTGAACAAAAGGTGGAGGAGGGGTTGAAGTGGCAAGAAAAGAGAGTATTGTATTTTGTTTTATTTCCTGAATGTGAGTTCGCCCAAGCCATTTTTTTTGTTTTGTTTTGTTTTTTCCCTTGACTGTTTCTCAGACCTTATCCTCCCTTTCTGGTCTCCATCTCCCCATTCACCTTCCTTCCCACTCCTTCTCCCCGGCCTCTTCCTCTATGTAAAACATCCTCTTTCTCTAGTTTACTAGGAGAAACCGTCCAGATTCCTCTCACTGGTCCTGCACTTGCCACCTCTGTTCCATCTCTGTCACTTCTCTCATTTCTGATTTAGTTAATAGCAAGCAAAAACAGAGAATTTCAATGAGCCAAGACATTCAGCTCATACATAATTCCTGATTCTAGCCTCAAAACTGGCCAAATCATTTTTTGTAATTTCTTTCAATAGTAAAGTTTTTGAATGTTTCGTTTTTTATTCCTTTTCAAAAAGTGATTGTGTAAGATTTATTTGGTAAAACCTAGGCCAATCAACTTTCCCCAGATATGAACAAACAAAGGACACTCCAAAGAGCCCAGAGCTGGGCTACACAGATATTCTAGGCCAGGCCTGGTGGCTCACACCTGTAATCCTAGCACTCTGGGAGGCTGAAGTGAGAAGATCACTTGAGGACAGGAGTTTGAAACCAGCCTGAGCAACTGTGAGATCCCTTGTCTAAAAGATTGGCCATTCTGAAATATGTTTTCTATCCTTCCTTGAACACCCATTTAATTATATTTTGATTTTTTTTAATGTGTCTATTTTCACTCTCACACTTGGAGTCTCACAAAGGCAAGGACCGACTCCTTTCATTTTTAACTTTGGTTCTGGCAATCTAAAAGATTGAGTTGATTTGAATACTCTCCCCACCCTGCCTCCACCCTTTATCTCCAACATGTAGATGTATTAAATAAAATAGCACAGCAGACTTGAAAGAAAGAAATGGAAATGTCCAGCTGCTAGAAAACAAACAAAAAAACCTTTTAAATTAAGTCTGGGCTTGGCACCTGTAGCATAGTGGTTATGGTGCTAGCCACATACCCTGAGGGTGGTGGGTTTGAACGTAGCCTGGGCCAGCTAAATGCAACAAAAAACCAGCCAGGCATTATGGTGGGTACCTGTAGTCCCAGCTACTTAGGAGGCTGAGGCAATAGAATTGCTTAAGCCCAAGAGTTTGAGGTTGCTGTGAGCTGTGATACCACAGCACTCTATGGAGGGCAACAAAAGACTCTGTCTCAAAAAACTAACAAACAAAAAATATAAGCCTGCAAACTCAGGAGTTGATGAAGTGGTGGCCCAGAGGGCTGCTGGGCTGGGAACTGAATGCCCACATAGGGACTGGGGACAGGGCCGTGGGTCTGTGTGAGGACCTAAGAACCTAACTCCCAGAAATTAAAAAAAAAAAAAAAAAAAGCATAGTCATTGAAATAAAAACCTCAATGGATGGATTTACCAGAAAATTAGATTCAACTGTAAGGAAAATTAGTGAACTAGAAATTATACAGTAAGCCACAAGAACAGTGAAGAGAAAGATGAGCATTAAAGAGAAATGAAGGGCGTGCCTATGGCTCAGTAAGTAGGGAGCCGGCCCCACATACTGAGGGTGGTGGGTTCAAACTCAGCCCCTACCAAACCGCAACAACAACAACAAAAAGAGAAATGAAGAATAAGTTTTAAAAGTTCAAAACACATCTGACAGGAATGTTTAGAACAAAAAGAGAGCAATAATGCATGTATGCAAAGAGAGAGTGGGTTACAATGTTTCAGAATTGATTAAAGACATGAAACTTCAGCTCGAGGAAGCACAAAGAATTTCATTCCACCCTAGCTCATCATGGTGAGACTGCATAATTTCAAAGACAAATGAAAAAAATCTTAAAATTAATCAGAGAAAAAATGTGGATTCTATACATGGAGCCATGATTGGGTGACAATCAGGCTCAGAGGTCAGCGTGAAAATACTGTTTACATCTGAGTTGCCCAGTGCAGGGTTGGAGACAGAGAAAGTGCTGTTTGTGGGTTGGATAAATTGAATGAGATGAAAAAGTGGTTTTATTAGCCACATAAAAACAGATTTCTGGACAGAGGGAAAAAAAAAAAAACTATTCTTCTAGGAGTACAGAGTCCTGAAGAAAGAGCGCAGAGTCAAAATATCCAAGCTTAATTCTGTGTGACCCGGGACTTGTCTACGTTGTCTCCTGAACATACCATAGTCAACCCACACTACTGAGCGCTCGGCAGCCCTAACCCAGCATCAGTCTGGAGACTGTACCATCTAATAAGACAAAGTCCCTGTCCCCAACAAGCTGCCAGCCTGGCCAGGAGGGACTTTTTTAGATCACTGATCACACCCAGCTGACAAGTGCAGTGACAGTAGCGGGTATAGGAGGAGGTAAAGATCGCAGGGAGTGAGAGAAGATGGCAGGAAGTATCCGTTTCAGTTGCAAAGACAACATGGAATGAGCATTAAGTGCACAGACCATGCGGAAAACACTGGTCTTGTTGCATCAGAAAGTGGTGTATGGGAGTAAAGATGTGAGGGTCAGTGAGGCAGGAGGGACGGAGGTGAAGCCAGGAGGCGGGCAGGGGCCAGACCAGGCTGGGGCTGTATGCCTGGCCAAGAAGAATCTTCTTCTTTCACCCAAGAAGATACAAGATGCCAGAGAAGGCCCTGCTTGCCTTGCAGGGGGGGAACACCAGAGGAGAATGTGTTCTTCTCAAATTTGTGCATCACACCCAAAGCTTGGCAGGTAGGGAGGCTAGAGTTCAAGAACAGTACACTTTGATTGGGCAACACTCTTCTTAGCTACAATTTCTTTCTCAATAGGTGATGAAATTCTGGAACTCAATGGTGAATCGATATCTGGATTAACACATCAGGACGCTTTGCAGAAGTTCAAGGTGACTGTTTCTTTTCAATATATGCCAAACTCTAGGGCTTTCAGGCAAAAGAACCAACCCCCGTCAGCACCCAAACCTACAAATACAAACTGTGGGATCCTTTACACGGGGCACCCTGCCAATGCCAATGGAGTTTCAAAAAGACCTTACTCAGAAAGTAAGAGTGTAATGAGGGTTGTTTAGGGGGATTATCAACTATTTAAGATTTATAAAACTTTTAAAAACATCCCGTGTATTTATATTGATATATTTACAAATCTTAATAATGGCAGTCACTAAAAGATATTTACAGTCTCCATTCATCCCGCCCTCCACCTGACATATATATCATATTTATGTGTGTATATATATAAATCAGCCGTCTAAGTACTGTCACGTCCCTGCCTACACGCCTGTATTTATGTACTCTGCCCATGCACACTCAGCCACATTTCCTGAGAGTATTTCATTTCTGTTCGTAGTGAGGCCAGTTTTCTTCACCGGTCCCTGGATCACTGCTGGACCTTGTAGCCTTCTCCCTTTTCTTTCAGCAAGCCAAAAAGGGGCTCCTCACCCTCACCGTGAGAACCCGCCTGACAACGCCCCCCTCCCTGTGCAGCCACCTGTCTCCCCCGCTGTGCCGCTCTCTGAGCTCCAGCACCTGCATCACCAAGGATGGCAGCTCCTTTGCCTCGGAAAGTCCTCCGGCTCCTGCCAGCACTACCAAGCCCAATTACAGAATCATGGTGGAGGTTTCTCTGCAGAAAGGTAGGTGTGCTATGACTGGAGGACTCCACCACCCTCCTCTGCCTGCTGCCTGGGCCTCCCAGCGCTGGCCGAGCCACCCAGGCTGTCCTCCTTTGGAGTTGTTCCAGGAGCAGGGCAGGGTGTAGTCTTCTGGCAGATTTTATGGCCATTGCTAGGCTGGACTTGGCAGCCAGGTCCTGTCCTCTGCATAGAGAAACTTAAGACACACTTTTAAAACTGAGTGCTCAGTGCAGTGATTAGAATGAAAAAAAACAAAGATGAATCATGAGCAACACTGCACCACCTCCTCCCTCTGCTTGTGGCAGAAATAGTGGACCAGGAGCCATAGCTCTGCAGTTGACACTACCTATGCTAAGGGACCTTGGGCAGGTCACCACACCTTCCCTGGGACGCCTTCTTACCCAGAGCAGGAGATCTGAGGTTATTTCTAGTGCTGACATGTGGGGAACAGCCAGCTGGATGTTCCCTGGTCCCTGGGATTTCAGTGTCAAGAATGAGTATTGAAACCAAGTCAAGCTGATGACAGATCACTCCCTCACCACAGATACAAAACATTAACATAGTATTTACACGTTTGGTTCTGAACAAAAGTAAAGAGTCTCCAAAACTGAGGCAGCCGCCACCCCAGCAGGTGGAGAGGAGACCCAAGTCTGAGCACACACTGTCCTTTATAAGCTCACTCATTTGTTCCGCCTTCCCCTGTACAGGATTGGCTGTTGTTGCCCACCTTTTGGGGGTGATTGACAGGCTGGGGTTACATAACTAACTCCTTATTAGGCATGGTCATCTCCCAAACTTCCCTGAAGAAATCTGCCATGTAAATTGTATGGTATTAAAGTCACTAGAGGGTCCTCACTGTGTGTTCTGACCTCTGACCAGGCGACAGTCCCTAGCCACAATTTTGCTTTTGGTTCCTGCTCTCTGCCTCTAGCCCCTTCCCCACCACCTGTTTACCTTCTCCCAGACCTAACAGATACATTTGTAAAAGTAGGAATTGCCTGCCAAGCCCTTGTTCGTGGTCCTTCCACGACCTCCCTTCTCAGTGCAGGATAAAACCCCTTCACTGATGCGCCCTCCCTCACTGAGCCGAGTTTAACCCGCCCAGTGCCTCTCACACCCTCACCTGAGGCTGTCTGTGCCGGCCACATCCCTGGCCTGGTCCACCGTGTGTCTTGCTTCCTTTTGGCTTGGACCTGTGCACTGGGTGTTTCTGCCTCTTGGTGCTCTGTCCCAGCTCCTCATCCCTAGTTGAGACTTGTCACTCATGTTTTGGCCTAAATGTCTCCTCTGAGGCCTGAAGTGGCCACCTCTCACTTTCCAGCACATTTCCCGTTAACTCTCTGTGTAATACTTATCACTCTGATACGTCCCACCTCCCTCCCTCCCTCCTTTTCTCTCTCTCCGTCCTTCCCGCCTTCCTTCCCAGCCTTTCCCCATTTGACCTTACTCTCCCTGGGCTGCCCACGTGGCACTCGGACCCTAGAGCAGTGCCTGTGCGGAGCAGTGGGAGCAATGGAGCCACGAGAGGAGAGGCGGGGGCACTGCCTGACCTGCAGAGGGCGCTGTGGGACCGGAGAGAGCCGTAGGCCCCGGGAACGCTCACGAGTCCCCACCCCCCTGCCTTCCAGAGGCTGGCGTAGGCCTGGGCATCGGCCTGTGCAGTGTCCCCTACTTCCAGTGCGTCTCGGGCATCTTCGTTCACACACTGTCGCCGGGGTCTGTGGCGCATCTGGACGGACGCCTCCGGTATGTTTTTATTTCTGTTTCTGAGTAGACGCCTGGCTTAGAGTACCAGGAGCTCGCCTGGGAGGTGAGGGATTTGGAACGAGCTAGGCATGGCTCAGAGCCTCGTTCCTCGCCCTGTGGTCCTTGGGCCAGCACTATTGACATCGCTTGGGAGTTTTGTAGAAATGCAAAATCTCAAATGCCCCGGCCCACACCTGCTGAGTCAGAATCTGTGTCCTAACAAGGTCCCTATGAATTTGTGTGCATGTCTTGGTTTAAGAAGCATTGTCTCAGGCTGGCCGCAGTGGCTCACATCTGTAATCCTAGCACTTTGGGAGACTTGAGCTCAGGCTCAAATCGGTGGATTACTTTGAGACCAGCCGAAGCAAGAGTGAGACCCCACCACCACCAGCGCCCCACCCCCCCGTCTCTAAAAAATAGCTGGGCGTTGTGCTGGGTGCCTGTAGTCCCAGTTACTGGAGAGGCTGAAGCAAGAGGATTGCCTAAGCCTCAGAGTTTGAGGTTGCTGTGAACTATGATGCCATGGCACTTTACCAAGGGCGTCTATCGAAGCATCGTCTCAGAGAATACCAGTCCAAGACAGAAAACATGAAGATAAACAGAATTTAATACAGATTTTACAATATAGAATTTACAGTGACATAAATGGGAGCTTGGATGAGGTTTACTTGTGAATTCTAAATGGAAAATACAGTTTGATTTTTTAAAAAATTAGTATAAATATGGTTTCTTGCTGGCATAAATAAGTTATTTGCAAGTACTCCAGATGTATTTCTTTACAAATAACTTCTAAGAGAAGTACAGAGATCTAAGAGATCTAAATGTTCTTTTATTTTTTTTTTTGAGACGGAGCCTCAAGCTATCCCCCTGGATAGAGTGCCGTGGCATCACGCTTACAGCAACCTCCAACTCCTGGGCTCAAGCGAGTCTCCTGCCTCAGCCTCCCAAGTAGCTGGGACTACAGGCGCCCGCCACAAGGCCTGGCCATTTTTTGGTTGCAGCCATCATTGTTGTTTGGTGGGCCCGGGCTGGAGATTCGAACCCGCCACCTTAGGTGTATGTGGCTGGCGCCTTGCCGCTTGAGCCACAGGTGCTGAGCCTAAATGTTCTTTTTAATAAGTGATCTGAATTTGTTAAAGATTGCTTGAGCTCAGGAGTTCAAAGCCAGCCTGAGCAAGAGCGAGCCCCTTCTCTACTAAAGATAGAAAAACTAGCTGGGTGTCATGGTGGCTACCTGTAGTCCCAGCTACTCCGGAGGCTAAGGTAAGAGGATTGCTCAAGCCCAAACAGTTTGAGGTTTCTGTGAGCTATGGCATCATGCCACTCTACCCAGGTGGACAGAGAGAGACTTTGTCTCAAATAAATAAATGAACAAACATTTTATTTTATGTGTATTCCAATTTAACTTGTTACCACTTGGTACTCTCCTGAGGTATTCCCAGTGTTCCTATGTTATACTCACCACATTCATGCGTAGTACAAATGTATCATCTGGGTTTGGGCTTTGCTAAATCAGCAGACGTTTGTCATGTTTTTAAAGGTTTTCCTATACCTGCAGAATATGGAAGGGCAAGCCCTGCTCAGAGGGTATCTTGATGGAGATTCTGAATTAGAAAGGGGTTTGGTGTTGCCTTCTGCAGAAGGGTGACAGCTGATTTGCTGAGCTGCTATGCTGGTCCCTGGGATGTACTTAGGGCAGAGTGATTGCCTTAGTTCTAGAAGCAGGTGCCTCCCTGATAGACCTGCAGAAGGGTGGGGATTATTCTGGAAGCTTCTGCTTTCCTTGCCTTTGGGTGCTATATGACAGTGTTATCTTGATTAAAATGTGTACTGTTTTAGCAAGGGCGAGGGGTGACCAACTCAGCAGAAATACAGAGAAAGGAACCAGCAGGCCACAGCAGTGGAAACAGGGAACTCCGCATCAGGAAATAGCCGGCTAGTCCAGGGCTCTGCAAACTGCAGCCTATCACCTGGTGTTTATTTGTTTGTTTAAAATAAAGTGTTATTGGAACAATATGTGAGCCGTGCTCGCTTAAGCATGTATTATCTAGGGCCGCAGCCCCCTGCCTCAATAGCAGAGTTGAGTAGTTGCAACAGGAATGCCATGGCAAAGTGTGCACACCTAACAGAAATTAATATCTGACACTTCAGAGCAAGTTTCTCAGTCCCTGAGCTGGCTGTTATCAGGGAAATCATCTCACACTCTGTGCCTCAGTTTCCCCATCTGTGCTGGGAGGGGGTTGGTTGCACAGATGCTCCACATGCCCATGTGGCCTGTATCTTCTACCTCACTGGTTTTCCTGTTTAGGTGCCATCAGTGCCCTCCCCACCTTACCACTGGAATGAACTCCATCACCTTCTCTCCTATTCCCTTTGGAAGACCTCTCTCACTGCTTTCCTGCTGAGTTAGTTTTCCTTTACCACGTAACATCCTGTACATCTATGTGAGATCCAGTCTTTCCTCCTAACTGCTCTGACTATGGGGACACTGAGGCCCAAAGAGCTATGACGATTAAATCATGGTTAATTGGTTAGATTGGCTGAACCACACCCTCAATCTCCACTGGGTGTTGTTAAACAGGGAAAAAGAGGAGGGAAGTTACAGAAGGACTTTTGTTAACACGGGCCGCTCTGCAGTTGTGCCTTGGGTGTGGGATGTGCTGCTTTGGTCTGCCATCTTCTGAGTTCTGGTCAGGTGGCTGGGGAGGTCTGCTTAATGATGTGACTTTTAGATCTTACCAAACAGCCTAGCTGGAGTGGACTCGAAGGCAGTGACCTTGCCTTAAAATATGCCCATGTGGCTCACTGACTTCCTGTTGGCACGCATGCAGGTGTGGCGATGAGATCGTGGAAATCAATGACTCCCCGGTACACTGCATGACACTCAACGACGTCTACGCTATCCTGAGTCACTGTGATCCTGGTCCAGTCCCCATCACTGTTAGCCGACATCCAGACCCACAGGTAACACCCCGCTGGCTTAGTGTCTACTTCCCAGGCTTGCTCTTTCAATAGCAACATTGGAACAAGAAATGGATGAAGGCAGAGATGGTGTTGGCCGAGTCTGCACCTGAGTCCCTAAGACCTGTGCCAAGTGTCTGTGCTAACAAGTGTATACAGCAGAGGTTCCTTAACAAACTCCTATTCAGCAAAGGCAAAGAGCTGAACTTAGGGTAGCTCTTGCAGCTGAGTTATAGGCTCTCAGGCAGGAGATGCGAGAGAGTCATTCATCTCTGCATCTGGTAGGGACCCACTGTGAAGTGTCTGGACACTGCAGCTGGACACTGGAAACAGAGAGAACAGTGAGTCCATAGTGAACAGTGCTGCTCTCCAGAAGCTCGTGGTCTCAGGGAAGAGACTGACCTCATCATAACTGCAGTGTGGAGAGGTGAGTCCTGTGGGAATGCAAGAGTCCATCCAGCAGGGAAGGGTGTATAAAGTAAGAAATGTCAAAAGTCAGTTTTCTGCAGGCAGAGTGTGAGGAAGACCATTCTGGGAGGTAGGAACACGAAGCTCAAAGTCACAGTGTCAGGAAGGAGCCTGAAATGGGAGGAGAGAGATTCTGTGGGCCGCCTTTTCTTCTTATTTCCGCCCTTTCTTCTTATGGTTCTCAACCTGTGGGTCACAACCCACAGAAACTGTATTAAAGGGCAGCGGCATTAGGAAGGTTGAGAACTACTGCTTTAGAAGAACCTTACTCACTGTTTTCCTGCTGAGTTATTTTCCTTTCTTCAACATCTAGCCTTCTGTATGTCTATGTTAGATCCAGGCCTTCCTCCTAACTGCTCTGCTTATGGGGACGCTGAGGCCTAAAGAAATGTGGTCGATTATAGCATGATTAATTGGTTAAATAAACCAATTGAGAACAGAGGTTGGCAAGGCATGGGGGTTACATTGCAAAGGGCTTTCAGCAGGATGCTAAAGGGTTTGCATTTTGTTCTGTGTGGATTGAGGAACGATGGGAGGTCTCTAGCTGGAGGTGGATAGGTTCATTTATTTATTTTTTTTTTTGATCTTTGATTGCCTTGCCGAAGACAGGATAAAGTGGGTGGAGTGTGGGGTTTGTGAGAGGAAGGAGACAGACAATGAGGGCTTAAGTAGTAGATGTGGGAAGAGAATAGAGACTCAGGGGAACAGGAGACGACTCTAGGGAAGAGTGGACAGGGGCTGATGGCTGAGTAGTCCTGGGTGGGAGATGGAAGAGCCTGGTGACTGCTTAGATCAGGAGACTGAGTGAAGGAAATATCACCACCAGATTCTGCGTACTTTATGTCCCTCATAAGAGTGGAATCATAACAACATGTGTCCTGTGACTGGCTTGTTTCACGTAGCGTGATGCCTGCAAGGTTCACCCATGTGGTAGCAGGCATCTGCGTTTCCTTCCTTTTTATATCTGAATAATAATCCTTTGCATACCACATTTTATCTATCATCTGTTGAGGGTACTTGAGTTGCTTCTACCTTTTGACTATTGTGAATAATTCTGCAGTGAATATGGAGTACAGATAGCTCTTTGAGATGCTAATTTCAGTTGTTTTGGGGTATATGGCCAGAAGTGGAATTGCCAGATTGTGTGATAATTCTATTTTTAATTTTTGGAGGTGCCTTCATGCTGTTTTTCACAGCAGCTGCATCACTTTACACTCCCATCAACAGTGCGCAGGGCTCTATTTCCTCCAGATCTTTGCCCATGCTTGTTATTTGCTTTTTGGGGAGCCATCCTATTGGGTGTGAGGTGGCATCTCATTGTGGCTATCATTTGCATTTACCCTGGGGAGCCATCCTATTGGGTGTGAGGTGGCATCTCACTGTGGCTATCATTTGCATTTACCCTGGG